CAAAGGCACACAAAAAATGTTAATTTGCAGTTTCCAAGGACACCCAAGCTTTGAAAGTCACCAAAGTTAGGTGGTCATTTTCTTGCTAATTTCACCTCTTACACCGAATGACCCCATCTCCTTCAATCCTAAAAATTTGTTCTTTTATTCCAGATAAATGAATATTTCTCATCAGCAAGGAAAACGAAAAGGCTCGAACATCATACCAATAACTCAACAGACAAAACACAAACAAACAAACAAACAAACAAAAAACAACAACAAAAACCAAAACTGAAGAGCGCTTGATTCCACTGGCCTTGATGCACGGTGTTTCTTTTCCGATTTCTCGTCCTTTCGATCTGAATTTTTTTCTGTCTAAAAGCCAGTGTGTAACTGCATTGACATCCAATTATCCTATCCCTCCTTATTAATTTATATAATAAAATGTGCGTTGTCGACAACTACGACTTCTCTGAAAAGATTTCCCTAAATGGCTACAACTTTGCGGGCTGTTGGCGGGTGCTCTGGTGTAGTTTGCTCAGGTCCTTCTTTTCTAGCAAACATCTATCGTCCTGATCTCTCCTCCTTCTTTTTTTTTTTTTCATTGTTTTACTTTCTTGTAACACATCTAATCTTCGGCACTTATATGACCTTACTGTGTTGCAAGTGCCGTAAAACTCTTACTGAAACTGAACAGCCACAACTTTTGTTCAACTTTATGTGATTGTCCCTAATCTAACGAGCTTGTTTTTCTAGGTCACACTCATAGTCATATTTTGTTATCTGTGGCAACCGTCAATCACAAGGTTGGACCAGTATTTTATGCTCTCAGAGCGTGGAAAGAAGCACACATTCACACATCGAAGATGCTATACTAATGTTATTAATTGACCTAGTTTGAGCACGGCTGTCGTTTACTTTCCTCTTTGTCGGAGCGACACACACATAAACACAATCACTAACACACACACACACACACACACACACACACACAACACACACAACACACACGTACACACACGTACACACACATACACACACACAAACACAAACTGACCCTCACTCACATCACACATACAAACAATCACTCGCACAAAAATACACACACACAAGCACACA